CGTGGGTTTTTCTGTTTATGAAACATTAATAAGGCAAAGTGTCCGGGCTGGATAAAATTGGTCTCGAATCCCTATAATGTTCCCCCACCTGAGGCGTCAAGGGGTTGTGTGTGTGTGTGTGTGTGTGTGTGTGTGTGTGTGTGTGTGTGTGTGTTCGTACGTACATGCGTGTGTCAACGCCATCACCATAGGAGCGGTGAGATCGTAATCTCCACAGTGTGTCAGCAGGTGCTCTGTCACCTTTAGCATTCGCCATTTGACGACTGGGGAGGTGGGGGCGTGAACAGTACTGTTCTGGAGGCGCAGCTCAGCTTGCATAAATTTCTTCGGAAACCGTGCTGATAGTGTCATGCTGACGTTATCAATCATCCCACGGAAACATAAAAAGTAATGAGAGTTGTAATGTCTGTGCGATTTGTAAATGAAAACGTATCTGTGATCATTAGCGCTTTCATGCGTGCCGTGATCCCCGCCCCCACCGGCTGGCAGCCGGGGATAACGGCGGTTAGTGTCGGGCTGGGAGATCATAAATAAGTGGACCTGTCTGGTTCGGTACTGTTTCCAGGGGGGATTGTGTGGCTCAGCAGCTTAGGACACCGGACCTGGGATCAGAAGGTTGCTGGTTCAAATCCCAGGGTTGGCAGAGTGAACAAGGTCAACAATCGCTTTAGTGTTTGTCGGACTCTTTCTCAAAATATGTATGTTGTTAAATAGACCAAGAAAAGCATGTGCTAGGTAACACATTTTTTTTTTTTTTACTTCAGGATGAGTGGGTGGGCTCTCAAGGCCTGCTGGGCCTTCACCATTTCTTTGTTGGTGCCTCGCGGTCTAGAGCGTGCGGTTGTCCTACAGGGCTGTGATCGTCCTGGTGGGTGGGGGTTGCAGGCTGTGTTTATGAAGGAGACAGGTAGATCATAGCTAAACTGAGCTGATTGCTGTTTGGGATGTGAATCGGGAGCGAGCTGTCCTGCACGGAGAAGCTGCAGGTCTCGGGTCCCTGGCGTTCAAACGCCCCACGGCGAGGGTGTGTTTGCTCCAGCAAAGCCTAGGTCTCCTCAGATCACAGGCGGATATCTGCTGCTGACCGGGAGGGTTCGGCGGTGGGCTCATTCTGCCAGATGGTTAATAGTGGCGGGAACGTCGAGGGTGGGCAGGGCAGATTGTTGGAGGATGGCGAGTCACCCGGATCCTGATGTCGCCCGGATCCTGATAACTGGTCTTGAGGTCCAGCTAGGTTGGTTAATTTTCCCTCAGATATTTGTACCGCTCCCAGATGAGACTCCGGGTTTGTATGGAAATGCCAGGCTCCCCCCCGCACGGTAACCCCCACGGCTCTGTGACACAGACGTTATCGTTTTGGGCAAGGTGAGCGTGGTGACTGGCACCTGACCGTCGGGTGCTTTCTGGTCCTAATCGCACTGAAGATACATCTGCAGTGTTTGTTCCTGATCAGTATGGGAGGGGCGGCTCATGGAGATGCACGCCGTGCCTCTCGATCTATCCCATTGCGGTTTCTCCATTGATGTGTTCATCATCGGAAGTCTGCCAGTCGCAGCTCACGTGGATTTTCATTTCTCCCCCGTGTGAGTCAGAGCTGCCGTTTTGACAGAGAGGGGGCTTGCTGAGAGAATACTGCCGTACGCATGCTTCCCCCGCTGTGAAAGCGACGGGCTGCTTATCGAGGATGCCGGTCATGTCTGGGATGTGGTTTTAAGGCTGTCGATAAAGGTCTGGGTTTTTTTTCCCAGAAGGAAAAGATCCCTTAATGGCTGCGATTTATTTAGCTCTAGGGTGGCCTGACGTTCTCTGATTTCAGCAGAATCCTTTTTTTTTTGTTTTTGTTTTGGAAGGATCGTGGTGGCATGGTAGGGCCAGGCCTCTGGGGTTGTGAAAGCCTTCATCGCCGTCTCATGGACGCCCAAGAAGTTTCATCCAACTTGACGTAAAGACCCCAGAGTGCAGTACCACAAGTGCAGAGGGCTTCTGTCAGAACACAGGACTGGCACTAGGGGGTGCAAGAGAACTCTGCACGTTACCTTAACATATTGCTCGTAAAAATGTATCAGTTCATTGGCCTTGGAAGGATTTTTAACTGAATGCATGAAATCTTTAGAACAATGTACAGTACTAGTTAGAGGTTTGGACACACAAACTGAAAATCATTGGTTTTCAACAAGAATAACCTCGAGGTTATGTAGTATGTATTGTCATGTGAAGAAGGAAAGAAATGTAGAGCTGTGACAGTTGACCTGTCCCCCACAATCCCCCGACCTAAACCCTACAGAGCTGGTTTGGGATGCGTTGGATTGCTGAGTAATAACAAGGTAGTCAACTTGTGCCGAGAACTTTTGGAAACTCCTTCAGGACTGATGGAGAAGCCTTCCAGGTGGTTACACCTGGGCAGCTGGTTGAAAGAATGCCAGTGCTGTCATCAAAGCAAAAGAGGGCTATCTTGAAGAGTCTAAAATTTGAGAACATTTTGAGATGATTTTGAGATTTAAATGTTTTTACATTTAAAGCATGCAAACCCCAATAAAAGTCACAGATTATTAATGAGCATTATCCTCAAGAGGTCTGAAAGGTGTCACGGCTTAAACCCCACCCCAGTAACGCTCACTACTAACCTCCTTGACCTTCATTTCAGAAGATGCTTCATGGTGGTGATGATGGGCATCGTCTGGTGTTGAATCAATGGATTACATTGACTTGAGAGAAGAGGTCAGTGTCCAGCTAATCCAGTGTGCTGTAATGCCCTTTTAGCTCTTACTAAGAGAGCATCACCTGGGGGAATGATTTTGGACATTCCTCAGCCACGAGTGTTACGTGTGCATACACAGGCCTGTGTAATTTGTCTCTCTTCTTTTTTTTTTTTTTTCCCCCCCCCCCTGCTGGTTCCCGTGATTGGTTGGCCTTTCTGCCAATTAGCACCAGCCGACGAACAGCCTGCAATGTGGGAGGAGCAAAATGTTTAAACATGACTGCACCCAGCGATGGAAGATTGTGTGGGCGATGTTGGGAATGTGGCTGACGCCGTGAAGTGTTCAGGGCTGCTGTTAGCATTGAGACACGTTCAGGTTCAGTGACTATGTCATGGCCATTAGCTCTGTGCTCTGGAACCTTCTCCGGACCCCACTGATGGATAAAGGGACATGACAGTGGGACTTACAGACCACTAAGGTGACTGTGCGCTCCCCTCCTCCAGTTGTCTGAGTGAAGAAAAACTAATATTTCCCAGTTGATCACACTGGGAGCTTTGGTTTAATGGAAGATAGATTTTGGGTATGGCACATGTTCCTACTAATATCATGGGGGAGCTATGTGTGTTTAGGGGCCGAGGGGTTCGGGACTGATTTGGTCCTTAACAGCGTTGAAGCCAAACCTACACCCTTGATGCTCCACCTCTGGTGAGTCAGTCCTGGTACGAGGCAGCACCACTTAGACGGGCTTCAATATTTACCCAGGCTGAAGGCCAGTAGTCTCCACTAATAAGGGGACTTGACTAACCTTTTTTTGGTAAAACGTCCAGTGTTGTTGTTTGATTGTGAGCGACTGCGTTTGCCTGCCAGTGTAGGAAACGGCAAGGGGACGCTGTGGCCCAGTGACCATGCCAGTGTGGCTGCTTAGGGGACTGGCATAGCATTGCGCGGCTGCCTAGGGGGCCACCTTCTCGTATTGTGGTGGGGATGGGGGTGGGGGGCAGCATTGAAGGCTCACCATGACAGCCACACATGCCTCAGATGACACTGCAGACAGGAAAGCGCAGGCAGACGGGTTCCTGTGGGGGTGGGGGTATCAGCCATAGAAATTACTGAATGTGTGCTGCCCACATCCCTTCTAAGTAGCATCCTGCATGCTCTGTGAGATGATTCCTGTTATCGTTTACCCAACCCAACCCAACCCAACCCAACCCACACAGATATAAGCAGGGGTCATATTGCATGACCATTGGTCATTACAGTATGGTACTTCTCCTTCTCGTAGCAACCACATCAGTTTTTTTTCCCTTTTTTGTGGGGCAGTGGTGAGGGGTGTTTTTAGGGAATAAAACCCAGCATGTGTGATCAGCAGCCGTCGTTCGTCCTGTACAGAAAATTAATTAAGTGATTTCATAGCGAACGCGTCATGCGTCGAGTGACTGGTTTGTTTCGTGCAGTGCACTACGCTCGCCCCTGGGTCGCGTCCCGGTTATTCCTTCCCAGGATTCTGTTTAGCTGTGCCGCGCGGCCCCCGCTTGTCTGCTGTGCGAGCGCGTTTTCAGGGCTCAGTGCGCGCGCCAGCCTGCGCGGTGCACCGTCTCTCCATCCCCCTCAGTTTCGCTGCTTTCCCTTCATTCGTGTCGTCTGCCGAGCCGTGCCCATCGTAGCGGGCTCTGTCTCCGCCGGAGTAACTGGGGATGTCTGCCTCTAGGAAGGAGTTTGACGTGAAACAGATTTTGCGAATCCGATGGAGGTGGTTCGGCCACCCCACCTCCTCGGCGCCCCACAACCAGTCGCTGGGTGACTTCTTCAGCGGCAGGGGAAACGGTGGCTCCGCGGACGGTCCGCCTCTTGCTGTGTGTGCCGCGGCCGCTGGTACTGCCGCCGGCACGAACAGCAGCAGCGGCGGCGGCAGCAGCAGCAGCAGCAGCTGTATAAAGTTTGCGGGCGTCGCAAGCCGTTCGGCGCTTTTACCGGCATCGGCTTCGGGCTGCCGGCGCTCTCTGAGCCAGCAGGACTGTCGGAGTCCCCCGCCGCTCCAGTGGGTCGCGCACCCACAGCCGAAACCGGAGGTCCTGGAGGAGACCGCAGGAGGATGCGCTGGGTCCCAGCAAGCTCTTATGGAGGGACGCGAGCCGGAGGGGTTCGCTGGGGGTGAAGCGAACAGCGGAAATCTCGAATCGGACTCCAGCTCTTGCAGGTAAAGCGCCGGTAGGACGTCGGGTGGGCTGGATCAGAGAAGCGATGAACTACTTTTTACATCTGATATCTTTAAAAGGCTTTCGGAAAAAGGTGAGATCTTATCAGATGTCGGTGGCAACTTTTCAAAGAGGTGGAAGTTTACAGAGAAATGCTGTACGTTTATGCTGTCTCCGGTGGCGAGGAGCGGGCATTTCCCAAAGCGAGCTCAGCCAGCTCACATCTGCTTCTTACATTTACAGTCTATATGAAGGCAGCTGCTGTGTGTTTAATGGCAGTGCGGCTGCTTGGCGCTATGAGGTTAAACTCTACATTTACGCTCATGCCAAGTGACACCGTCAGTAACTGTAAAGCCTCGTATTTTACTAAATCGCGTTCATTTCATAGCGTACAGTTCATGTGCGGTAATCTTTTCGCCTTTTGATCGTTTTCAACCAGTTTGCATCAGACATCTGTATCCCATTTGGGGAAACCGGGCTGGGCGCCTCGCCTCTTTGGATGCCTCACGTTTAAACGGTTCGCCGTAATTAATGGGTGGTTCTTTGTCGGATTATTATTTAATTATGTGCAGATACGGAGAGCAGGGCAACCTTCCGACGGTGCGGGTGTGTTTAAAACCGGGGGAAATGCGTTCGCTGTAAGATCTCGCTTTTAGATTGGATAAAAGGTGGGCACGGCTGGGTGTAGACCCTGCCCAGCTTAAGGATAAGTGCCCACGACGTGGAGATGGTGAATCGCACCGAGATCGCGAGCAGAAGCCGGGTTCCGGCGGAACGCTGTCCTCACGGATAGCGCCGTTCGCGTGTAACAGCCGTAATCTGCTCCTGCTTTTGTTGAAGCCGAGGGTGTGTCCGATTTGTCGGTCTTGAAGAGAGTTTATCGTGGAGATATAGCAGCGTTCAGCCCCCGTTCGTCCGCCGTCGTGTGTCATCACAGCTAACACGGATAGTTAGCGTCGCACTGAATCGTCTAATTGTAACAGTTACACATCGTTTCATTCCGTTTACTTTTCAAAAATACTACTTTCGGAGCCATCTGGAGCACAAAGCAGGCTTTAATAATGCAGCGTATGCGCCGCGGTCTTTTGGAAGAACACGCTGGCAATGATGAAATGATCCAGTTGTGATCACTTTGTCTACAGAAGTGGCTTGTGGTTATGAGGTCGGCATCCGCTCATTTCTGTGTCCTACGTATGCCATGCATGCGTGCAGCTCCGGTCTGGAGTTGTCTCTTTGGCCCCAGGTCCAGCTCGGACTGGCGTTTCTCCCTGGGGTTTGGGGGGGTACACCTCTGGCTCTGTGCCACGTCGGCGTCCATCCCACAGTGGGATCGCCTGGGGCCGTTATTCCCGCTCGTCGTTTTGCACTTCGGGCCCCATGTAGGGAGCCGTTCTGGAATAGTGAGCGACTGAACCGAGGCGCATTTGTGTCTGACCCGGTTTTCATTGCACGAATAATGCATTCAGGGCCGTAGCCAGGATTTTTAAAATACCGAGTTCAAAAGCGTTACCCCTTCGTAAGTGTGCCCCGTAATGGATCGTGGTTATTGAAGTTGCAGAAAAAATAGAGGACTTGGCCTCGGGGTCCTTAGCGGTAGGTTTGGGCATGAATGCATTGAAATGTACACACCTACCTGGGCATTGGTGGGAAGCTTGGCATAGCTGCCCTTATGCCCAGTCGACTCTTTGGCAGCGAGTATGTCTGTAACGTGCCATTTGCCTCACTTGTACGTCGGTTTGGACAAAGGCGTCTGCTAAATATGTAAAATGTGAATTTT